GCAAGCTCGCACCCAATTGGGCAGGCCTGTTCCAAGTTATAGACACTCTCGGAAATGGTGCCTACCGACTCAAGGAGCTCGGGGGCAAGGTTCTCCCACAGACATGGAACGCCACCGACCTCAAATTTTACTTTAGTTAAATTGTAACTTAGGGCGATGTACTCTTTTTCCTTCCCGACTTTTTTTGTCCCTAGAAGAAAAAATGAGGGATTTTTGGCCGAGAAGGTTTTAATGAGGCACGACCAAACTTCAATAAAATGAATTCACTTCCATATATCTCTGGTTTACATTGCTCACACGCGAAAGGCCGAGTCTTTAACACCAAAATTGAGATTGAACCTCAACTTAAAATCCAAGGTCGAATTTGAACCTTGAAAAAAAAAGAAGAAAAAAAGAGGTCAAGTTTGAACCCAAATCCAAGGTCGAATTTAAACCTTGGAAACAAAAAAAGAGGTCAAGATTGAACCCAAATCCAAGGTCGAATTTGAACCTTGGAAAAAAAAAGAGGTCAAGTTTGAACCCAAATCCAAGGTCGGATTCGAACCTTGGAAACAAAAAAAAAAGAGGTCAAGTTCAAGTTTCCAAAGGATGACCTTGAACCTTAGAATTTCAAAATCCAAATAATGACGAGAGAACAAGTTTAAGCGATGAAGAAAAAATTATAAGCGATATATAGCAGAATACACAAATTCATTCAAAACAAACCGAGTCCCACATAATATAAGGGAACAAAGCCATGAGTGCGACAACATAAACTAAGTCTATTACAAATACAGGGAAAATATGCAGGCCTAAGTGATGGAAGAGCATGGGCTAAAGGCCCAACCACTAGAGCTATGGCCAGGAGATTACTTGAAGACTTGACTGCTTCAGAGCTTAGTGGGCCCAATGGGCTTGGTGGGCCTAGGGTGCTTCTCACTTGGACTTTGATTGATTAAACACCATGTTTTATTGCATTACTTAGTATAGGAAGTTACTTTGATTTTTGGTCTTGTATTTTGACCATAGATTAGGGTTGTTGTGCTTGGGCTTATTTTTGGGCTTCTTAAGCTTTGGGCTTTTTGATACCCAATATTAGGCTCATTCTTCTTCTTATATTTTTTCCTATTCATTTTATTCATTAGACCAATGTATTTCGGTCATTAGATTAGGATTATATGAAGAATACATTAATAGGAGAATTAGGCTTCATTTATGCATCATCTAGAAGTAATTTGAGTTGAATTTGAGTCACATGGATGGCATGTAGTAGTTCCGGCCATGTGAGCTCAAATTCACTTCAAATCACTCCTAAATGACACCTAAATGATGGTAGCATCTGAATTAATCACGTTGGAAGCCAAAGTTTGAATTTCAAATTCAAAATTTGAAATTCAAACTTGGCGCCAATTTGGCTAGTTTGAATTGCCGCCAACTTTGACCTAATTTCTTCCTATAATTGTGACTTCTACCACCTTGTATCAACACTTTTGAATATATGAGAATTTATGAACATTTTTTTCAGCTAATTCCCTCAAGAGTCACCGAAAATTCCAAGAGAGAAAACCTAAGAGAATGCCTTCAAAATCCTTAGGAAAACCTAGTTTCCTTCCCTTTGAAGTGTGCAATCCCTTGAGTTCATGAGCTTGGATGCTTCCTTCTTCCATTTCCGCAAGTGTTCTTCATCTCAACGTGTTCTTCAATTGTGTTTTAATCTCCATTGAAGAAGATCCGAGCCTAGGAGGAGCTTAGGAGGAGTTTGTGTTTCACTTCTTCTACTCATCTCCATCAATTTTGGTATCAAGAGCAAGGTTTCTTCAAGGAGATAAGTTCTTCAAAATTTTGTGTCCGTGTTCTTGTGTTCTTGTGTTTGTTTTGTCTTAATTTGAGTTTCAATTTTCGGATCTATATTGTTGATGTTCTTGTGTTCGTAGATCCATTGTTGATTGTTCTTGATTTTCTTCCTCAATCAACTTGTTTAGGAACTTTTTGCTTGTGCTAATTTTGATTTTATTTTGAGTCTCTCCATTCCTTGTATGTGTCCGTGATTGGACCTCATGCATGTGCATTAGATTTTGTTTTTGAATCTTTGTTTTGTCTTAGAAGTTTATGTGTAGTCCTTACATGTTGCAAATTCCTTGAATAGCATGTTTAACCTAGTTTTATTTTGAATTTTGTGTCTACATGTTGCTCTCGGTTTGCTCTAATTTGTGCCTACCTATATGTGCTTTTTCTTTTACCTTATTGTGTTCATAATTTTCTATTAGTCCTAGCAAGTTTCTTTAGAGTTAGGTTTCCATTGTGTTCTTAAGTTTTCAAATCACTTTCCATTGAAAATCTTATAAAAAA